ACGTAGATCGCTCGAGCTATAATAACTCGGTTAAAGATATTGCTATCTATAGTAATAGCCTATATAGCGATAGCACTATAGAAGAGGTTATAGTAGTTCCGGCTACTAGTGCTATTAGATGTATATAATACGTACCTCGTTCGATAGTACGGGTGCTATTAAATAACCTTACGAATAGGGATAGTTAATCGTTTATAGATAAGCTATTACGTGCTTAGCAGAGGGACGCCTTTGCTATCGAGCGTATTAATAGGCTTATAGGAGGACGGGCGACTCGATCTAGTAAGAGTAACAATAATTAGTCGATCGACGATAAAGGTTACTTAAAGTTTAAGGGCAGATACTATATCCCCGCTAAACAATCGATTAGATAAGAGCTTTTAAAGAGGCACTATAATAGTAAGCTTGCTAGTTACTATAGTATAGAGAGGTCGTACGAGTTACTATCGCGTATATACTACTAGCTAAATAGTAAGCGGTATATAAAGGAGTATATATAGACCTATATAGTATACTAGCGAGTTAAAGCACCGAAGCACTTGCTATTCGGCGAGCTGTCTTCGCTTCCTATCCTAAAGAAGCCGTTTATAGAGCTTATAATAGACTTTATTATAGGCCTTCCGCCCGCTAAGCGTAGGGGCAGTAAGGATATATATAATGCTATCCTTGTTATAGTAGATCGATTTACTAAAGGCGCTCGATACATCCCGGCGCGGAAAGATTAGACTACTATTAATATAGTAGAAGCGCTATAGACTAATATCTTCTATACCTATTAGGGAACCCCTAAGGGGATAGTATCTAATCGTAGATCGATACTAATATCGTACTATTAGAGCGAAATATGCCTATAGCTAAGACTAAAGCATCGGCTATTAACAGCCTTCTATCTATAGACTAACGGTTAAACAGAGAGGCAGAATGCTACCCTATAGCAGTACCTACGTAGCTATATTAATAAGAACCCCGAGGATTAGGTCTATCTCCTATAGCCTATAGAATTCGTATACAATAATAGCGTATACTCGTTAACTAAGGTTTTACTATACATAGCTATAATAGGCTAAAACGCTACCTTACTATAGGATCTATTTACCTCGCTCGAGGCCGAGCGTAAGGAAAGGGAAGCGCGTTAAGTACTAGAGACACTAGCGGCAATAGAACGTGTCTAGAAGATGCGAGAAATCTATACTAAGACAGCTAAGAAACTAACAAAGGCTTAAGAGTACTAAAAGACCTACTACGATAAGCACTATACACTAATAACCTTTAAACAAGGCGATATAGTTATACTTAGTACAAAGAACCTCCGCATCCGTAAGCACCTATTACCTAATAGCAAAACAAGGCCTAAGCTCGCACCGAGATATATTAGCCTATTCTGTATTCGAGAAGTTAAGGGCTCCTCCGTATAGGCCTATTAGTTATAGCTTCTACCCTATTATACTATCTATAATACATTCTACGTATCCCTTCTTAAACTATATTACTAGCGCGAAGGCGATAAAGCGCCTACTAAGTTAGAAGAAGTCTTAGCTAATAGTAAAGAGCTATAGTCTATAGAACATATTCTAAAGCACCGGACTAGGTAAGGCAAGAAGGAATACCTATTAAGATAGCAAGGCTATTCGCCTAAATAGGACTCGTAGGAAGCTAAAGGTTCCTTTGAGGACATAACTAAGTTATTAGATAAGTATTAGACTAGTATAAAGAACAAGAAGAAGGCTAAGGGCCTATAATGTCGCCTAGGATTAATGCTACCCCCGGGGTGCTATTAGCTAACTAATTAGAGGTAAGCAATTGTTAGCAATAAAGGATAATAAGACTACATTACTACAGTAAACGCGCACCGAGTGTTAACTAGTGCGCTATAGCGCGTTAACTAATCGTATACTCTTTTATAGAATCTACCTCTTTACTAGCGTACTCTATAAGACTCTTCTCTTAGCGCCCCCTCTTATTCCTTTATCCTATCGAAGATAATAGTGTCGCGCTACGAGCTAGCAGTATACCGGCGGCCGGCGCGGCTATATTAGTAACGGTGTTGCGGAGTGTATTACTACTTAAAGAAGGAAAGATACGGCTATATTAGTAACAGTGTTGCTAAGTTGTTATTAGTTAAAGAAGGAAATTAGAAGCAAGGTAAAGTCGGCGCTAGGACGACTAGCGCCGCTATTATTAACATTACTTGCTATTGTTACTATACCTACGAAGACAACCTTACTTATACTACGAGCCTAAGGTACTAAGGGGTTAATTAAAACTTTGAGGCTAAATTAGAATATTAAGGCTTAAAAGATTAAGTAGCTTAATAGACTAACTAACTAAGGGCAAAAACTATAGAGCTAAGCTAGCTAGGGTCGATCTTGCGGACAATAGGTTACTCCTCGATCTTTCCGACCCTTTAAGCAAGGCGAACCTTAACTATTACACTTATAATAGCCTTTACTTATAGAAACTAGACGAACTGTGTTTTTTAAAAAGATAAGATAAGATTAACAATTAAAGGCTGCTAAACCTAACTAATTAGAGCTAGCGAAACTACGAACAATAATAGTCCTCGTAATAATAAGAACAAACCCTCGGAAGCGGACAACCCTCGGAAGCGGATATAGCTAGGTCTTTTAAGAGTAGACGCAAAGAACTCGATACGACATTACTTAGAACGGAGGCAGTGCTACAATACCTCGTACGTCTACCTATTATAGTAGGGAAGACGCGCTCGTATTATAATTAGTCGATAGTCCTTAATTCTCGTAGTTATATATTACTTTATTATATATAAGGATAGCGTAGTTAGAGTTAGATATTATATTAGAAGGTAAGGTTTGATATAGTTACATAATTAGGTAGTTGCGTGTTTAATTTAGCGCGGGCTAAGTAGCTTATTAGACCTACTAAGTTAGTAGCAATAGAGGATAAGATTAGAATATAGACCGGCTACGAGGGCGCGGCCTTTAGAAGGGAAGCGTATATTAGGACTAAAGAGGTTATACGTAATTAGTATATAACTAGGCTCGAGTAAAGCTAGGGTCTTAATACCTTAGGCAGGGCTTAGCGCTTAGTAATAGGCTAACTCTCCTACCTTCCTCCCTCTCCTCCTAGATCCTTATTAAATACTACTCGTACCTACTACTACCCTATCTACCTACTAATATAACCCTTCTTATACTATTCCTAATACTTTAACTGTTAGTATACTATAACTAAGTAAAGACTAGCTTACCGAGAGCGACTAGATTATCCTCGAAGAGATACAGTTATTCCTTATACTATTTAAGGAAGCGACTTAGCGGCTATAAGGCTACGACGTTACCTTCGACCGCTTCTAAGAGACTATAGAATAGCTACTTACTTGCTTCGAGCGTACTAGGAAGCGGTATACTAAACGAGAGTCTATAGCAAAGGCTATCTATGTCTCTTAGTACCTGTTTAATAAATGCTATCGTCCGGTTAGCGAGAGTAGTATCTGCGTTGCTATAGTACTACTGTATCTAACTTGCCGTAAGGTGTAGCTTCGGAAGCGGTAGTCTAGTAGTAGGAAGAAGGATCGATAGCTTATTAATAGCCTAGTAAGAGCGAGAGCGTTATAGACTAAGTACGAGGCGCGTTATAGACTAGCTTCTTATTATATAGAGGCTACTTCTACTACTGCTATAGAGGCTATAAACTTAATAGATATAATAGCGTAGTAATAATAGCTTAAGAACGACGTCCTTACGACTAATATTAAACCCTTCGAGCCCTTTATTACCGCTACGCCTATTAAGCTGCTATAGATTAGTACCGATAAGCGGAAGTAGCTAATCTATATAAGTCTACTTAGATAGTAGTACCTTCCTATATAGCGAACCGCCTATCTAACGCTCTTATAACTAGCTATCGACTTATTAACCGCCTTCGCTATATCCGCGGAGTCCGAGCGTACCTTTAGTAGTAGTAGACGTATAGTTTTATAGGACTGTACCTTACTTACTAGTAATAATATCCGTATAAGCGAGTATAGCAAGCAATAGTTACGGTTTAGTATAGCAGATTTGCTATTAGATATACTATAATTAGGTATAGAAGGTAAAGACAACGACGATTATATAATTAGCTAGTATTCTATAAGACTATACTACGAAGAATACCCTCCTTCTTAACCCTAAGCGTTACTACTGCCCTTACTATCGCTAAGAGTGTATTTAAATATAAATTGAATATGAATATTTACTAACATTCAATAGTGAATCTGAATACGAGCGGTGAATCTTGAATATTTAGTATTTAATATCTATAGCTTTATAGCCGCTTTCTAGTAATAATACAAAAGAGAATGCCGGGTCTTGTGCCTGATATGCCTTCAAACAAATCACCCCTTCATTGTGACGCCAGTGGCATGCATGTATCTTGCTGTGAGTGTTGTTGGAAGCAAATGCACAATTTCCAAAATGCATCGAGTCGTGACAGATCTCTTGGCAACATTCAAGGTCAAGGGTGCGAGGCACTCTCCGAGCCGTGCCTTCCCGAGACGTAGACCGAAGACGACAACGACAACATCATCCTTCTCTTATCCTGCGAGAAATCAGCTCTCGAACCGTCTTACCTTCGAACGTTCAAGCTGCTGACAAACTCGGCTTTTAGTCAATGTCCGGATGGCTTACAGTACTGCACGCGTACAGCGCAACCAAAGGATGCCGCATGAGCCGCTGCAGAACCGGCAATAGCAGAGCCGATGGACTCAAGTTTTACTCGGCTGTCTTTGTTCGCCATAGTCTGGCGGGGTGTTCATGACAGATGCTCGGGGTACCAGATGATTCGCTCGCAAAATGCAGTTCCGGGGCTGTTCTGACAGAGGGACAATTGCTCCTCACCATGTAGATCAAGTCAGGTAGTACGATTAGCTCATCGTACATCCTTACGGCGAGCGCGGCGACGGTGAGGTATACTGAAATGTAAGCGACTGTTCGCATGCTCAAGCAGTATTCAAGTCACGCTCAGCACTTCCTCCCTACGAAATGGCTTCTTTTCTCATATCAGACGTCCGAATTTTCGACGGCGAGCAGAGCATCGAGAACGGATCTGTGCTTGTCGAGAATGGCAAGATCTCCAAGGTCTCTTCGGGTGCGATCCAGTTCGAAGGGACGAAATATTCGAAGCCAGGACATACGGTTTTGCCAGGATTCATAGACACTCATATACATGCCAATGGTGGCACTGAGAAAGCGCTTCCGCAGTCTCTTCGTTTCGGTTGTACTACTGTGTATGTAACGTCAAAGTGCTGATTATCGGCGAATGGGCTGTGCTGACTCGTCGCCATGTTAGCTGCGATATGCACAATGAATGGCCGAACATACTCAAGCTCAAGAAGCAGCAAGCAGCTGGGGATTGCGCTGATCTGAAGACGACCAGCTTTGCTGCAACGATAGACAATGGATGGCCGATGCCGATTTTGCTCACGCATGCTGACAGTCCACAAGTGGGTGAAACTGATTTGCAATGCGTGAGCAACCTTGGGAGAAGTACTAATGTCTGAGATAGACGAGGGCAGAGCTTGCGACCTGGCCAAAGCTGGAGACCGCAGATGATGCAGTCTCTTATGTAAACGACCGAGTTAAGGAAGGCGTGGACTATATCAAGCTTATGCACGAGTCGGGCACCGTGATGAACCAGACCTTCCGAAAGCCGAGCATCGAACTCCAGAAGGCTGTGATTCATGAGGCTCATAAACATGGCCTGACTGTGGTCGCACATGCCTTGTCTCTGGACGATGCTATCGAAATTCTTGAGGCTGGTGTTGATGGCACGACTCATACAATCGTGGACCAAGCGCCGAACCAACGTCTGATTGACGCGTATAAGAAGAGCAATGCACATTGCAATCCAACGCTGGCCACGCTTGGCTCTGCCACCAGCGAAGGCAAGAGCCAGCAAGAGAAATATGCGCATGATCCACGCATCGAAGGTCTACTCGGCAAGGAGGAGCGCGATCGAATGTGTCAATGCTCGGCGTTCGCGCAAGGCAACGGTCAAGCGTGTGAACATGCATACGAGAGCGTGAGGCAGATGAAAGCTGCTGGAATTCCAGTCCTGCTGTAAGTCTGCTCGGACATTCAATGTGGAGTATATGCTGATTCTCGTTCAGCGGCACGGATACGGCTGGCCCTGCTGTTGGGACTGCCTGGGGTCTGACAGCACACCAAGAACTCGTCATCTTGGTGGAAAAATGCGGATTCACGCCAGAAGAAGCTCTGGTAGCAGCGACATCGCTTCCAGCTAAGCGCTTTCAATTCTCGGATCGTGGAAATATCAAACATGGTCTGCGTGCTGATCTGTTGCTGGTCCAAGGTAATCCGCTTGAGAATATTGACGACACCCTCAACATCAGAGGCGTGTGGACGCAGGGTCAGCTCTGCAGTTCTTACCAAGACAACCTTTAGGAGTGTGAAACGAGCGCCGCTAATCATTCTCATCCACCTCGATCACTCCGCACCCTCATCAACATCAGGCCAAAACTCCTTCTCAACCCAGATGACCTGCCTCCACGCCGCCTCACACTCTTTCCACACCCAACCTCGCTCCTCAACTCCACACTTAGTAGCCATCTCATTCACCAACCCTCCAAGCTTCCTCACAAAAGTTTCAAACTCACGCGAACTCCAATTCGGAATAAACACCCTCTGCATCACATCAGCCTCCTTACCCACCTTCACCTTTCCTAACGCAAATCTCCAAGCCCGTAAATAGCACTCTTCAGGAGCCCATAGAATCGTCAAACCCACTAATATCGCTCCTGCGAAAAGGTCTTGATAATTCCTCGTCTGCGGTGAGCTCCAGCAAGCAGCCACCTCCCAACTTCCCTTTCCTAATCAATAATTACTCACCTCCCTCTCAACCCCACACCCCTCACAAACCTCCTCTCCTCCAACCACCCCTCCTCCCGAGCAGAACTTTCAAACAACGCAATCTCTCCCCGAATATTTCCCAAACCCTCGATCAAAATATCCACAACTCTCCATTCGATTGAAGTCTCACGATTCGAGCCATGAGGAATAGAAATTTGGCTGAGAAGGGAGCCGATGAAAGTCGTGTAGGAAAGTGCATAGATTCTGTCTTGAGCGAGCCAGCGTTTGAGTTTTGGAAGGGGGAGGGAGGAGATTCGCGAGAGATTTTGGATAGGTGAGGGACTTGCGTGGCTGCGGCTTTGAGGAATGGATGTGTTGTTGCTTTCTCTAGACCGACTGAGTCGAGATTTATGAGATGGGATGTCAAGGATGGCATGCTTAGCTGCCCAAAAGGGTCTCGAGAAAAGTAGGGTCGTGGTTGTGATGCCGGACGTTGCCACGGGATGTTTTCGATGAGTAGGTACCAAGAGCGGTCTGTCACAAAACTTTGCTCATCGGCAGTGCGAAATATGTTCCAATTGAATGGAAGAATGAATGGAGGTGATGTTGTTCGCGTGCTGCTCGTCTCTCTCACTGTCCTCGTATATCAGCTGTGAAGCAGACAGTATATGACGTCTCGCTTCGCTCCTGGAAAAGTCAAATCCTCGGCTGAAATCGGACATGTCCTTCCCAGTGGAGGTCCGGAGGACGTAAAAAATCGTGGTCATTAGCAAGGAGGTTGATTTGAATGCCTGTTGTGCTCTGCAGCGGTACCGCTATAGCTATGGCATGCACTCCGTCTCGCCGCCGAATCTGCGCTACTTCATCACCCTCTGGCAGCCTGAGTGCACCGTGCATCCTGGAGCGTGGTGTCTCATATGTATGTCCTGATGCATCGCAAGCTGGCCGTTAAACTGCTGCGCAATTTGACATGATTTCAAAACGCTTCAACGCCCAAAAGTCTGGCTTTTTCCCGCTCACTGTATCGTATCACATCCAATCTGGAAGAAGACCTGGTTCATCCATATCCCGCGGCTCCATTGAGGCCATTTATGTCGCTCCCATTGGGTATACCGAAGAACTCAAACCAGTCCCCGACATTGAGTGTCGTTGGAACAATTGGGCCTCCGGCACTGCTCGAACTGCTCCATGTATCATCCTGTCTTGGCTGGTCGTGAACGGGGTTGAGTTGCGTCCACGAATTTGGATCTTGATGATATGCTGGCATGTTCTGTGGCATTCCCTGTTGACCTTCAGGCATCTGCATTCCTTGTTGCCCTTGTTGCATTTGCGGAGGACTCTGCATGGGTGGAGGGCCATGCGCAAATTGCTGAGGTTGTTGCGGGGTTGAATGCTGCTGTTGTCGCAGCACAGGATCCACCATCGCCTGAGTCGGGCTGTTCGTCATGACCGGGAAAAGCTCATTCGTCTCTGGAGGGAAGAGCTGGTGTGGGTCGTAATTCTGCCACATGTCTTCCGAGATCTTTGGCGAGCCTCTAGTATGCAAGAATAGGTTCGGTGGGGTGCCTGGGTATGAGAAGTTGTTGAAAGGTGTCGTGGGTCGTGTATTAGCACGTGAGTTGCCCATGAAAGCGTCAGTACCAGGACGCATTGTTGGGCTGCTTGCGGTGATCGTGGGCATCTGCTGTGGTTGTGGATGAGATTGACTGTTTGGCGGCATATCTTGGACAGGGGACTGAGGCCGCGATCGTTCGTAAGACATCTGCGGTGCCGGTGGGCCGTTGGTGTAGCCGAACTCCATGTCATCGAACTTCCGCTTCGGCGGCGCTTCGGCAGACTGGTCCGGGGCGGGTTGCAAGGGTGCTTCTTTACTCGCCCTGCTGCCCGCATGCTTCGATTTGTTATGCTTCCGGCCTGCAGCCTTCTGCAATCGCTCTTCAAGGACTTTGTTGCCTAGGATGGACTCAAAAAGAGTGTGTACCATCTTAGCAACCAACCAGACCCTGGAAACATCCTTGAGCGCCTGCATGCAGGCGTTCAGCCGCGTTTGTGTCGCGGAAACGATGGTATGACTGGTTGAGCGCATTTGATAGACGTGCATGATGAGTGCGGAGAAGAGGCTGTAGACACTGCATCCGCTGTCAGTACCGCCACGCGTTCCAATGTTGCATCTCAATTTCGTTTACTTACATGAAGGCAGGGGTGTAGCGTAGCTCATCGTGGGTTTGAAGGGCTTCGATGATGGATGTGATCATGGCCGCGGCTTGATACGCGATCGAACGCGAAGGATAAGCGGTTTCCTCTGCCCAGCCGTTGACGTGCCGCGATTCAGAGCCAGCTGGCGGCATGTGGGCTCGGTGCAGGAGGCACAGTGTGGTGCTACAGACTGTCAACTCGCGTGCAAATCGGAGGGTTGATGGTACGTACTAGTAATTTGCATGGAGCAACGCTGACCAGAAGTGATGCCGTTGCGGCTCCCATCGCACTTCCATTGGACAGTTTTGTAGCCAGTCCGCAAGCGCCATGTCGCTGTGGGTCAGATCCAGTGCATTGTTACGCCGTAGCTTCGATGCCACAGAGTACTGCTGAGACAGCACCAGACCCATAATCTCGCAAAGCTTCACATAATTGAGGAAGAAGTGCACATGGATTGGGTCAGGTGGATACTCGGCTGGGCGGTCTGGTTCGTCATCGATGAAATCGTCTTCGGTGACCATTTCAACGTCGGAGTCTTCGATATTAATGCCAACAGGTCGTCCAAGAGCTACGGCAACGGATCGATCGCGGGTGAACAGTGTCCACCATATTCGTTTCCACAGGCGCTTGTCCGCTTTACAGAGCTGCGAGCCTTCGACACTGCGGCAATCGATTAGTGTTGGGTGCAGAATGTCGATAGCACTTCCTTACCTTCGATGCATGCCGGAGCCTTGGGCAACGATGACGGCTACTCTGCTCCAGTAAAAGACGTTTTTGGTTACGTCTGCAGCAAGGTCAGACCGAGCGTGCGTGACGATGTCTCCTCTTTCTCGATTCTTACCCTCTGGACCTTCCCAGTACCATCCCATCAGGATGAGTGCCTGAACAATCGTCACTCTGTCGTCCTCATAGTTCGCATCGTACAGAGCCTTGGCGCGCTTGTAGAATGTCATGGCAGCAGGTGTTGTTGAGCCATTCGCATCCATGAGTTGCGGGTTATTGCACACTCGGGATCCTGCAAGTAGTATAGCTTGTAAAAGTAGGAGTGAAGGTGGATTCTTGGCGTCCCTGTATCGCCTCATGAACTTGCTCCGGTTGATGACAGGTACGACGGGTGCAATCCAGGTGAAGTAGGCATCGACCAATTCGTCGCAAAGCTGTCGAGGCGGTAATAAGAAAGCGCCACGTTGGTGCAGGATGTCGATCTCCACGTTGTCCAGCTCGTTGATCCTCGCACGAGCTCCCCGCACATTTTCGGGCAACGGGTAGTGAACGACATCCGTTGTGCCATGGCGGTCCTGGACAAGCAAAGAAAGATTAGAGGACTCTCCCAGGTATGCGACACGACCGGCTTCCTTGATCGGAGCTCTGGCGAATTTCGGTTTCATGTATTGCGCGTAGGTGCCGTTGGTGACGCTTTGGCTCGCATAGTAGGAATGAGTGCCTTCGGACTTTGGCATTCCCGCAGGAGTGTTCATGCCTATGTTGTTGGCTTCCATGACCATGTCGCCGCGCTTGAGCAGAGGCTCGGTGGTGGCATTGGCAGGGGATGGGCCATCCGTCTGCGAGTCTGCGGTTTGGCTGTACGTGCGCAGTCAGCATGCGCGCCAAGCATGTTATGATGCACTGCCTCCATTGCGCACCTGTCGCAGTCCTTCTTTCCTGCCGTCTTCTTGCGCTTGGGTGTGGGGATCTTGCATTCGATAGAGAAGGCCACGCAGTTGGTGCATGGCACACCTAAGCTGGCGGCGTCGCATCGTACCTAGGGCGGTGAGTGAGTGGTGATTGAGGCGACGCAGCATGTGCCATATACCTTGCGAGCGTGACATGTCTGCAGACTGTTAGTGCGTGCTATGTGCATGTTGCGACTCGACATCAACTCACTTCACATGCTCGAGATGCGCGTTGCCTGCGAATCGGCGTGGGCGTGTCAGCAGAAGGCCCGGGGAGGGCAGCATTGCGCGCCATGTCAGGTCTGCCTACCGTCTGAAGCTCGGATGGCCTGGTATCTGGTCCTTGGGCGCAGAGTTGCTGCCGGGCGCGGTGGTGATCGGGTTCGCGCTTGCCTGCGGCTTGCTCGGAGGTGTCTGTTTCGGGTCGACGCTGCTCGCGGCCATGAGCGGCCGCGGTTCCATCGTGAGGGAGCGCTGCTTTCGCGCGTGCCTTCGTGTTAGACGCGCGAGCTGCTCATCGCTCGGGGGACATTCGACCAGCGCCAGCGGAGAGACGGAGAGGTGTGCGAGAGCGTGCGTGCCGTGCGAAGCAACAAGCTGGATGATGCATCGATCAGAGGCTCGCAGTGCAGCGCAGGGGTGGTCCAGACTCAGACTCTGGTGCAGCGCAGGCAGGGCAGGCCAGCAACTCCAAGCTTCGCGTCGCTTCACAGCACCGATGCGGAGAGGTCCCACACTATTCTACTACTTGCAGGCTAGAAGGCTAGAAGCGGTGGTCATGCGTGCCATTATCCTTACCTGCTCACGCCGACTCACCCTCCTACTCACTCCAACAATGCCAAACGACAACGCTGTTGGTACATCATTGCTACATCCTTCACGTCTGCCCGCTGTTGCTCCCGACTTATTTTCTTGCCATGCCGTCTATAAAACACACCGAGGCTGTCCCTGAACCCTTTGCCGCATCGTGCTGATCCTCACTGCTCGACGAGCCGTCGACTGCAACTCCCGGAACATCGTACATCTTCTCATCACTCACAAACACCATCCCATCCCATCCCATCCCGCATGCTCATCGTTCCTGCACTCGTCGTCGCAACCCCCCTCCCTTTCGACTTGACCTTCTCCATCCAGTGACCCGACTGACGCTCTGCATCTGCACTGAACGGGACGCCTCTAGCATTCGTGCCACGCGCGCCGAACCTGATGAAGCATATTCAGTATTACAACTTTTCAAGCAACTGCCGCCAGCCCACCAGGGCATTTCCGCTTGATCCAAGAACGGCGTCCCGAGTACCGGTACTGTACCGCCAATGGTCAAATCCGGCAGCAGGCACACCAGCATCTCCGCCCGAGACTACTGATGGCAGTCCGATTAAATAATAACCTTGAAGCCTCCTGCACTCCACGTTCCACCCTTTCCACTTGCGGCTCATCTAAGTTAGCCCGCGCGCCATCCGTCTTTGAAGACTTCCATCTTGTGCACACACAAACGCCGGCCACCACCTGCCATGTGAAAAGAACATCCACGAATTATTGGCATTGGCACACCTTCTGACTTTGGCTATGCGCTACTTTAGCGGCCGCCTCCGAGCACACCAATGAGCAGAACTTCAGTCAGCACCCAGCCACCAGCAAAATCAGCTACTGTATTCTTTGCAAATGCACGTGAGCACTCCGCCTTTTTGCATGTGAAAATTGCTAGGCCCTTGCATTGATGCTCAGGGCTCTGTATCATCTGCTGATTAGCAATTTATGACGCGAGGTGGGCTTGCACTTTCCCACCGTGCCTTACCCGCGCACGCGACAAGTGATCTGTTCATGAAAACCTCCCGTCCCGTCCTCTCCACTTCTCCAGGTTTCGTGCAAGAGTTACGGCTTGTGGCTGCAGTCGCCTTGAAGCTTACATCGCGCCACATGTAGCCTAGATTTCAAATTTGGATTTGCGATAGGCTTTCGCCAAATGGGTCTGCTTATTACATTCTGCAGCGACCATCAACTTTTTAGTATTTACCAGCCTGCTCGTAAATCACAAGTTGCCTGCTACCTTTGACGAGAATGAATTCCTTCCAATGCTGCGCATGTCATTCAGTACATGACGGGCCGATGCCTGGTCGGCGTGCAATGTGTACTTTCTGTTCCCATTGCAAACGCTGCGAGAGCGCAGCACTTCGGTGCCAGACTTGTGACGGCTCACAAGTACGCAGTGACAATGTTCGCCTGGACGCAATCAACATGAAACGTTCAGTCAAGCTTTGTAGACATTCATCGTGCGGCATGAGCGGTCGTCAGTAGTTATCTAAGTATCACTTCCTAAGGCTCAATGTGGCTGAGGTGCGTGAAGCGTAGGAGGGAGATGCACCGGACTGTCGTAACGCACTGAGATAGAGCTGTCACAGAGTGAATAGGTATCCATTGATAGTCTCGACTCACGCGGGAACTTCAGCTCAACTTGATCGCGGTGCTGAGTCCGAGATTACCGGTGGTACGGAAGACTTGCCAGGATCTCTTGCTCTGATGTGAAAATTTTAACATGCCCGCTAGGGCCCAATTCTCGGCAGAAAGCCTCGTGCATCAATGTCGTCGACCATTTTGCATATGTTTGCAAATTCCTGCTCTTTTGAGACACCAGAATCGATGTCTTCGCCAGTAGTCAACCTCTTAGCCTGTCGAGCTTTGCGAGCCCAGATACGTAAATAATCCTCCATTTGCACACTTAGCCTCTTCACTTTGTTGTCAATGCACCAACCGAGAACAATCGCGATGAGATCGACGTAGTTGTAGCGGAAAGATACGCCGGATATGATGCCTTCAGCTTCAGCAAGGTGCGCGAACAGAAGCATTGGCCAGAATATGCATTTGTCGGTCATGGTCTTCCAAGGTATGCACTTGGTATGGAAGTCGCGAGAAACAATTGCTCGAAGCTCGTCAGGTAGTTCGTGGCCCTTCGAAATGAATAGCAGGTAGCGCATCAGCCGCCGCCTGAGGTCGCTGGCCTCGCGTTGCGGAGCTGGAGTGATACACAAGGTGCATAGACAAGGACCGCCTAGGCAGTCACGAAGGTGTTCATATCTTTCGTGAGTAGTCATGTACAGCAGCGAATCAGTGTAGGCAAAGTTCAGCTCTTGACCAGCACGGACGTCCTTGAAGACATAGCAGTGTTTCTGGCCCTTGTCGTTTGATGCCATTGCGCAGTTTGGCGAACAACTGTTGTTGAAGCGACTCGCGTGGATGAAGCAGCCATGCGCCGATCCACCTCTGATGGTGTGATTGTGGAGGTGGAAGATCGCAAGTCGTCGATGTTCGTCAGAATGTCCTTGGGCATAGTCAGGAACTGGTAAAGCATGGAATTTTTCCTGGTTGGCGTTGCTCAGCCCTCTTAAAGCCTGTTGGACGTCGTGTATCCCAATATGGTTCAAGTTTTTATCGATGATGAACAGAGCATTGTCAACTAGAATTCTGGTCCCGGGTGAAATGTCTTTGAGGGCAAAAGCACCATTGCCTTTGCCATCCGTCTTTCTGAGCTCGTAGTAGCCGTCGTTTCCCTGTGCTTGAAGGCTGTCAGTCTTCATCCAAGTTTAATTGTCATTAGTCTTACCTTCTCCTGGTTGCCCCATTTTCAAACTCAAGATGCAGCCTGACGTCCAGAAAATCCGCTAGGGGACAGATGTGCCATGTTATAGCAAAGGCTTGCGACTTGAAGCAGGCTCCAGCGCACATTAGCAAACACGTATTGAAAACATTATGCAGACTACGAGTTTCCAGTCAACTCAAGATGAGTCCGACATGAGGCAGATTCACTTGTGCAGACTCTTCTGTGCTGCAGGCCACTTTTTTGTTTGTTCTCAAATGCACGAAACCGTTCGTCTTTCATCGCTCGTGCTGACACGGCACCTTCACGGAGATTCATAGCCCATTCAGAGATACTGATAGCCATAGGAGAAGCAATGAGTCTGCGCTTGCAAGAAGAGAAAGTGAAGTGTACCTTGAGGAAAGCGAAGTCAACTGGAAAATTCTCGGACCTGACTCCGGCTCGAATCAATGCCCGTTCATCAAATTAGCGCCAAGACCATTTCAATCTCATCTCTCTGCCATGTCGGAGGAAGATGCAATGCCCGCAAGGCCCATACCGTCGGCCTTGACGTTTGACCTAATCTCAAGATGCTCAGTAAGCGTCCTGGTGTCTCTAGCCAGCTCAAGATGCTGACTCTTCTAGACAACGAAAGCCAGAGCCGCGACTCTGCATCTTCCTCATGGCCCAGTCCAGCTGCCCTTGTTCATGCCTGTAGCGACGCAAGCCTCACTGAAAGGCCTCACGCCGAAGCAACTTGAAGATACATCGTGCAGACTCTGCTTGAACAATACATATCATCTGTAGGGATGACTGGGAGAAAGTACAGCGAGCATGAAGCTGAGGTGGAAATAGTGGTTTGAAGCCTGGCCAGAAGACGCTTGACGCCATCGGTGGAGCACACAAGCTGCAATCATGGCCTCACAACATCTTGACAGGTATGGTCGAAGACACGTAAGACGCGTAGAGAAACACTGACATTCCGCAGATAGCGGCGGGTACGTGGCCTGGAGATGTTGGATAGTTGCTCCGCAATGCTCACGTTCTACAGCTTCCAAATGGTCTCGCTGCTGAAGCTTGCACAAGTAACTGAAGAAGGCGTGCGCTTTCTCAGCCCACACGATGGAAGTCCTATGCTACTCACGCCCGAGCATTCCATCTCCCTGCAGAATTCGATCGGCTCAGATATCATCATGCAACTGGACGATGTGATTGCAACAACCTCTCCTGATCATGCTCGCATCAAGGAGGCAATGTATCGATCCGTACGCTGGCTAGATCGCTGCATTGCCGCCCACAGGAAGCCGGAAAGCCAGAACCTGTTCTGCATCATTCAAGGCGGCCTGGACCTGGATCTACGCCGCGAATGTTGCAAAGAGATGCTCGCTCGAGATACGCCTGGCATTGCCATCGGAGGTCTCAGTGGAGGCGAAGCCAAGGCTGAGTTCTGCAAGGTCGTCGATGCATGCACCGGCATGTTTCCCACCCACAAGCCACGATATGTTATGGGTGTTGGCTATCCGGAGGATATCCTTGTCTCAGTCGCTCTTGGCGCAGACATGTTCGATTGTGTCTGGCCTTCACGAACGGCACGTTTTGGTAATGCCATCACGAATGCTGGTGTGCTCAATCTCAGACATGCCTCCTATGCCGAGGACTTCGGCCCCATTGCGCCTGGCTGCAAGTGCATCTGCTGTCGAGACGAAGACGAAGGTGGTCTCGGAATTAGTCGTTCCTACATCTACCACACCGCCGCGAAGGAGACGGTTGGTGCGCATCTCATGACTATGCATAATACCCATTACATGCTTGACTTGATGCGACGAGCTCGAGAGGCCATCATCGAAGACAGATATCCAGGGTTCTTGAAGAATTACTTCAGCACACTCTATGCTGGAAACAAGAAGAAGTACCCCGACTGGGCTGTGCAGGCGTTGAAAGGAGTCGGCGTGGATTTACTCGAGGATTGACAGCCTTTGCACCATCCCGACCTGTACGCTTGTCAAGACTGATCGCTACTTTCAAGATACACATTCTATCGATACAGTCTACGCTGCAGCTCCTTGATCGCAGTAAAGCCACGACTCAGTGGCAACATATGCAATGGGCCAGGAAATTGGGCAAGGACCTTGCAGAAACTCGCAATCACTTCGCAAATGGCAGCGAAAAACTCATGCCAAGTCTTGCGGGCGCGAAAGTCCATTACGCGCCTGATCAAATCCGTGTCCGCCCGCTAAACAACACGACATCATGGCCTGCCGACATTGCTGATTCACACTTTCTTGACTTTGTGGCGAGCGAACTGTGTCTCGTACCAAATTATGACGGGAGAAATAGACACAAGACGACTCAGCATGGCTTTCCGCTCCTTTATGACAATCTGAAGCAACAAATGCGGTAGTCACACCCCTATTGAAAGACTCGAAGTGAGCGATTGGAATTTCGAATATTTCCAACCCCCTTTATCACATGTCGACGACTGGTCACAGCTTGTGCGACAAGGCAATTTCAGTGACATCGGCTTGGAAGACCTAAGCAGCGCCAGTCATTATGAAGAACAAGAGTTGTAAGCAATGTTCCTACTCAACAAGTAAGTCAACGGCTGATGCAGACCGCAGGCAGCAGGACGATCGATATTGTCTCATCTGTGACAAGGACTTCAAGTATCCAATGGACTTTCGACGCCACGTCCGCAGCGTTCATAACGACGAAAGGCCATTCAAATGTCCTGTCGAGCGATGCAAGTACAATTGCAAAGGCTTCGCAAGAGAGGATAACAGAAAGCGGCATATGAGCAAAATGCGCCCCGACGTTGCCTACACCACGAATGTAACCTTTCAACCCATGGTTGTAAAGGAATTCCGGATACCACGGTCGGGTTCTGGTACGAAGGTAACGTAATAAAATAATTTGGGTAAATAAAAAATCTCTAACAACGGGGCAGACAACAACAATTGTATGTGGGGCGCCATATATCTTGAACACCCATATACTCTGGGCACCGGTTTACACCCTGTAACGTATCGAAGTGAGTGTTTCACAACACGTGCTTGAATCAAGCACCATCGCTAAACTTCTTGTTAAGGCATTTGCTGTGTCTGGGACCATTCAGTGGGCGAGTGCTTCTACAACACAAGATTGAACACAGAAATTCACGCGAAGGGGGATTGCGCGCAGGATGTTACCTCTTGCGCAGTAATCACTCGAGTCCATGTTTCCAGAAACGAATTGAGTAGCAACGGCCACCAGAGCACAGGTGCATGTTAGAGCTTCGTAGATCTAACGTAAAGTATCTTACTTCATGGGGTAGGAGAACTGATAGGGAAGTGGAACAAGAAAGATTTCAAGAGTCCAGACATTTCGAATCCATGGGAGTCCGCATGAAATTCTTCTCTATGCTACGTTGTGTGTAGCCACCCTCAGCACGGTCTACTGCCTTCCCACTCCGCATGGCAAACATATCAGAGGTAATTCTGTCCTTGACATCGGTCATGAATAAAGTCCTGAGTGACCTACCTTTAGAGCAAAGAGAAGTGGACTGTGACTTTTGGTTCACGATCGTAAATATATTATCGAGCTTGGGCATGTTTGAGGATATGAAATGGGAATGTAAAGATTGATGTAGGACCTCACGGAGGATCAAGGTCAGAGAGGGAAAATACGTGAGAGAAATGGAGCATTTGAAGATTACGGAATCTCGCTTCAGGGTCGTGCTGGTTTGGTATGGATCGTTCCATTCGATTTACGGGTACGAAGGCCGCGGAAGCTATGGGACAAGACAATACGTATTGACTCCCGTGCTCATCCTTCATGCGTATCGTACATTGTTGCCGACCGATATTTTGAGGTGGTCGAGGTAGACATCGTTAGGAGTCTCCATCTAGCTGTATCCTTGCAAGCTCAGATCAACCACGGCATGAATGCAACACGCTCACCACACCATACCGTCTTACCCATAATGTCTTGTGAGTGGTAGTTGCAATCACCCTCTGCGCAAGACCAGAAGCTCTGACCACGCTTGCCTTCGTCCTTGCCGATGCGATCCTGGCGGCTTGGAGAACCGCAGAAGCAGAGAGGATTGGTTTCGTGGACGCCCTTATTGTCGCGCCAGGCGACCCAACCTTGCTCGTACTTCGTGCGATATCTTGGACAGGCCTGAGGAGAATACATTGGTAAGTGACCTGTGCTTGATGAGTGTTGTGAAACGTACCTTGTTATCGCAGGCGTAGTAAGGGCGGCCCACGTTGTCATTCTCGTTCTCTGGACCAACGATCTTGGGCGTTGCAGGTCTATCACAGCTGCGGCACAGCTTGCTTGGCTTGTCTGCAACGTCTGGAAAAGCTGGTGGTGAGGGTAGAGGGCTTGGAGCGAACTCCAGCTTGGTGGTCTTGTTCTTGACAGTCTTGCTTGGCTTGTGTGCGGCATCTGGAAGAGCCGGCGGCGGAGAGTCCGGAGCGAACTCTAGCTTAATGGTATTCTTCTTGACAGTGGTCGCGGTGCTTGGAGATGCCATGCCTGAAGCGGCGGATGGGACAACAGCAGCATCTTCGCTGCTGAAGGGGGTGTCTCGACCATCAACAGGATTGACGATGGCATCACCACTAACGTCTTTGTTGAGGATGATGTCGTTGTCGTCGACAGAACCAGGAGCTGGAAGGTCGCCGGTGTTCTCCTGACTCCGGGATAAGGGCTGATCAGCCGCAGTGGCAGCGGTCTTCTCGGTCGCTGGCCTGATGTTGTCATCGATAGCAAGAGTGTACAGGGCTTCGACGAGCTGCCAAGTATCCGGAGGAGAAGCTATAAGGCCTCATCAGACGATATTCACGTAGCTCCTTTCCGCGATGCTCACCAGATGTGGAAACTCTGTTCACGTCAATCATCTTCTTTGAAACCATCTTGCTGATACCGAATGTGGTGATTGCTGTAGATACAGGTTGACAGAAGGCTGGAGAGGAAGGGATACTCAAGCAAAACATGAGGCGCAGGAAAGGACTTTTTTCGGTTTTAAGAAGCGTGACCCTTGACCACTTCACCGCAGCCTGAATGGCGGTCAGAATGCTTCAGCTCTCGAAACACCATAAGAACCAACGGACCACGGATAGCTGCAGTCTTCCGCTCCGGATCATATCCTTCGTTTGCAAGGTCTCTCCGCCTGACGTGTTTCAGGCTCAGAAGGCAGTGTTTGAATGCAAGTGTGGCCATCCAGGGCCGCTACCTCGCTGGCTTTGCGTGACGCTAGCACGTAGATGTATCAGAAGCCCTGCTCAGCTTTTAAGCTTGGCGACACAAACAAGCTGCGTCGAAGCTGCTCTCCGACCTAGCAAGCTCCCGATGCTGCCTATAACCCATGGTTGATGCGCTTGGGTGCTTATCCGATATGACCTAGACGATAGTGCTGAGCCTCTGAACCAACGTCGATGCTTTTGCAGATTTAGCAGCCAGGGAATGAACCTCTCCACAACCACGCCCGGGCAGCCATATCTGTTCTCGGAATAGTATCTGCAGTGTTCATAGCATGTGTCCAGAAACCGTTGAGATGATAACATGGAAGTTTGAGATAACACTCTGGACACATCCTCCAGTCGTTGACATCTTGCCGACTAGGCTGTTTACAATAGCATGGGAGATTGCTATCAGCTACTCCGTATGCCTCATCGTGATCGTGTTCCCCCTGAAAGATCGATATCGAGTAAATATCTTAATGTTCTTCGGGCCAAGGCAGTTCTAGTTCCTACAACGAAAGTATGGCCCCTTAGAAGCTCCATTAGCTCTTTCGGTGAACTTGTTGCAGTGTTTGCATGTACGTGGGCTCTCCCTATTAATCCGAGAGGAGTTGATGGTAGGAAGGAAGTTACGAAGCGCCTGAGAAGGAGGTAGGGTGAACTCACTCACTGAGCCGCGCCAAGTCTCGGCAAAAACCGCCGAAGTCCAATCCGACAACAAGAGGTTCATGAAGCATCAACAATGTTTGAACAAATGCTCATCAATGACACAATCGACGCACGAAAATATGGCAAAGCAGGTCAAGTATACAAATTCACCACTTTCACCCCTGCCAACTGCCTCACATTGTCAGGCTGTAGCAAACATTGAGCCGAGCGCCGAGCCTTGGATCTCGCCTCGAATCTTCTTCGCCGCTGAGCTGAGCAATAGGCAGCGCAACGACACGCATATCTTTCTCACCAAGACTTTGGTATAAGTATAGGACCACGCACAACTCAAGATGTCGAGAACACCAGATCCCGGCAAACAGGCCGAATCATACAGCAGCATGTCTGTAGGCGACGTAGAAGCAATTGGAGCGCATTGCCAGATGCCATTTTGTCGGCAACTGGACTTCCTACCATTTCGATGCGAGAGCTGTAAAGGGTAAGGGATGACCTTGATGGACCGGATCGGGAATATTGTACTGACCATAATGAAGCAAGTTCTGCGGCGATCACCGAACGGAAACTGCACATTCATGTCCGAAGGCTGGCGAATGGGCCCGAAAACGAGCAGAGGCGAATCGTGGACCGACGACGAATACACCCTTTGCCTCGAAACCGAATATCCTCACACACGAGCAGCAGTGCTCCGAACCAAGTTGCAAAACACTCATCAACACACCTTTGGTCACCGGCGTTCATTGCGACAAATGCCGGAGGTCATATTGTCTCAAGCACCGGTTCACATACGATCATAACTGCTCGAACCTCACACCACTTGGCACAGGCAAGAATACAGCAGCAACACAGAAGGAGAAAGGCCTTGCTGCGTTGGAGAAGCTGCGAGCATGGGGTGCGTCGAAGAAGGCTGCTATGCCCAAAGTACCGAGCATGCCACAGAGTAAAGCGAAGCAGAGTGCTGCAGCGTCGCTAGCCGCGACTGCTACCCTGAAGAAGACGGCCAAGGGTGATGACAAGATACCGCAAGACAAGCGCGTGTATGTGTACGTGGAGGCGAGCTCCGACACCGTTACCGCGAAGATACCCAAAGGCAACTTCTTCTACAGCTCCGAGTACACTGTCGGCAGAGTTCTAGATCTGGCAGCGAAGAGTCTGCAAGTGCAAAATGTCAACAATAGGTCCGAGAGCGAGGAGGATAAGTTGCGGATATTTCATGTGGAGGGCGGTAGATTGCTGGAGTTCGGAGAAAAGCTTGGAAAGAGCGTGGCTACAGGCAATACGATAGTCCTGCTGCGAGGTGTGGGAGCAGGTATGGCGAAGACGCCGGATCAGACGACATGATGGGAGTTCGTGGAGGCGACGCTCTCTGTTGACTCGTCACTCAGACGATGCGCTATGAGTTATGAAGAAACGAGTTACGAGAAGCGCTCGTGGGGTTCAGATCCGACGATCCAGACCAGCTGAGAAGATGTCACAGCCTTGTAAAATCAGGGCCTGTACTCTGGGCGGCGAGGTGTGCGATTGTTGCTATGTTGTTCTAGCAGAAGAGCACTGGAAGGCAACGAAAGGTAACCTGGTTCTATGGACAAGCAAGACTACTATGATACTGCTACGAAGGGATTCAGCAGCTTGCAAGCGTACCCGCATTTTGAACGAGTTGCTGCTCATGTCCACTTCCTTCTCGCACATGATCAGTGCCAAGACCGGGGCTCAGCCGGCCCGCCTCGAATCCCAAGTTGTAACCTTCCGATCAACAAACGCGGCAGTCTCGTGCTTTCCGGGTTCTTGACAGCAGGACCCGATCTTGGGAGTGAACAAGGCCGACTATCACAAGCTGGATCGCACAGGACGCTTCGCTTCACTCAATTGGTGCATGCTCGCTTGCTCCCGCCCCGACACTGTTCCGCCCACAGAAAAAGGCTTCCTCTGCATCGTCCGAACTTCATTCCGTTTCCCGACTCCGCACAGTATACGCAAAACATCGAAGCCCCTTCGAGCAATCCAGCGATAACCGCAATAAGGTTCCATTGCAACATTTCGTTCAGCGTCGCCTCGCACCAACATGGCGGCACCGGCACACCAGCAGATGCTCTGTCAGGGCAATTTCGAGCTCTGGAAAGACATCATCAACCAGCGTCTCGAATCATATGGTCTCGGGGTGTGGGACTTTTATCACGCTAAAGAATATGCCTTCGCAGCTGTCATCTCGAATGACCTCTCTGGTGTTGATTCTGCTGTGAGAATCATGCTGTTCAACATTGCTCCGTCTATACACTGCACCGTTCCCGAACGTCTCAAATCCCACCCATACGCCCTCTGGAAGCACCTCCAGCAGTACTCTAAGCCTTTCCGCTTTCTAGATCTACCCGCGGAACTTCGAGAGAACATAATCCTCCAGTCTTTTCCCCAAGGTGTCGTTACTCCGGGTGACACACTTCCACCGATCCTTAGAGCATCGCGACAGCTACGAGCAGAGTCTCGTCAAATTTATTACCAAAACCACCATTTCTACCTTGATTTTGAGGCCGAAGCTGAGACCTGCAGCAGAGTCAACGAGAACTGCGATACTCGAGTGCAGTTTCTGAAGTACTGGGCGAAAAAGTGGATCACGAACGAAGTTGGAATTGCTGCCCAACATCTGAGACACGTCACGCTATACATCGAAGAAAGTGGCTTTGAGGTTTCGCTCCACTTTTCGCCGAAGGAAGATAGGCTGTGTGTGGAGCTGGAGCAGGTGAAGGAGACGGTGCTGTACGAGGCTGATGAGGAGGCACTGGCAGGGCTGGGAGAGTACGTGGATATGATTGAGCAGCGGAGGAAGGAAGGACTCTCCACAAAAGGAGAGTCGATTGTCGACGCACTTTTCCACACACCACAGACATGGGGCTATGGTGTTATCAAAATGGAGGAAGTGGATGAAGAGGAGAGTGAGGAGGAGGAGGAGGAGGAGGAGGATGATAATGACTAATGAAGAGTATGAATAGAGCGGCGGAGGAGTACGGGGGTTAAAGAGGTATCTCTACCTCTAATAACAACTAGCCTTAGTAGAGTTAAATGCAATAGTATCGGTTTAGTAGCTATACTACTATCGCTTCCGCAATAGCTTAAGAAAGCTAATAAGCTTACTACAGATATAGAGCGACTATATAGTAGCCGCTTAATAGCTAACTAGACTATAGGTAATAGACTTCCGACTGGGTCCTATAGTAGTAGTAATAATAAAGGTATATCTATATAAAGAGGTAGACCCTAAAGAGCTACTCGAATAGGTATAGGTAGTACTTATAGTAGTAGTAGATAGATTAATGTAGCAAATGCTAGATTTAAAGAGCTAGAGCCTAGATCGATAACTCGAGAGAGATAAGAGGGGGTATTAAAGGCAGCTATTATTAAGGAAATAGTCTATTTAGCTAATAATCTACGACCTCTACTACCTCCGAAGGCATCTCTTATCCTAGGACCTATACTATTACTATAGTTACTATAATTAAACCGCCCCTCTAAGCCTAGTAAAGGACGGAAACTAATACTACTACTACTACCGGCAGTAATAGTACAGGCAACCGAGGGTGATACAACCTATAACTATATAGGCAGCTATGTTTAGTATAATAGGATAACAAGACCGTTGCTTAGGCTAATAACTAGAGCCCTATAATATAGGCATTATAGAAGTGTAATATAAACAATATGCTATACGAGGTTAGTACTCTATCTACAGTACTAAAGGAGGCCTCTTATATAGGCTTAAAACTTAGCCTATATGTATAGGGCTAGTTAATAGCTAATATCCCTCCCTTTCTTTGTATCTAACTAGATACGCTTTATATTGCTAGCTAAAAACAAACAAACAGTTATATAGTTACCTCTAGTATCTTAGCTAAGGCTATTTTTTAGAAACTCTATAATAATACCCCCGGGGTAGCATTATTCCTAGACTCTATTAATATATAGAAACAACCCTAAGCAACTAATCTACTACGCCTTACTGCTACTTTAATACTCCGTAATCCTTACTAGTAATAACCTTATTAGCCGGACGGTTCTCCTAAACTCCTCCGTAGGTATTAAAGCTACTAGTACCGAAGTACTCGGCCTTATAGTAAGCTTAATTAACGAGGAGGTTAGTAGCCTTATCCTATATAGCCTTCTCCTACTCGCGTAGTAGATATTCCTTAAGCTCTTCCTTATTAAACTAGAGGATTTGTTTAACTTCGTTCTAAATAACGTAACTTAACTAAGGAATTCTACCGACTAGGGTATCGGAAATGCAACTAAGGCCTTCGACTAAGATAGCCGTAGAGAAGGCGAATAGTACGAAGGTATTCGAACCTAGAAGGGCGGTTAGATTGTAGTACGCCTTAGTAACCTTAGAGACGGTTAAGTTATCGTAGCCCCTAATCTTAGTGCTGTTAATAACGTAAGAGTAGCCTAGATCGATTAATATACGGTCGCTCTCGGGCTTTAGATCGCTATATAGAAGGTATAGTATCTAAATAGAGACTTCGCATTCCTTTAGAGGGTTAAGGATCTACTAAGCTGCCTCGCCTTCGTTAGGCTATAAGAAGGGTTATATTAGCAGGTAGATAGGGTAGTGGTAAATCCGTTTAGTATTCGATAAGGATCTAGGAGGAGAGGGAGGAAGGCAGGAGAGTTGGCCTAACGCTAAGCGCTAAGCCCTGCCTAAGGCATCGAGACCCTAGCTTTACTCGACCTAGTTACATGCCAATCACGTGTAGCCTCTTTAGCCCTAATATACGCTTCCCTTCTAAAGGCCGCGCCCTCGTAGCCTGCCTATATTCCAATCCCGACCTCTATTGCCGCTAACTTAGCAAGTCTAATAAGCTGCTTAGCCGCGCTAAATTGAATACTTAACTACCTAATTATATAACTATATCAAACCTTACCTCTAAATAACACAATATACAACTCTAACTACGCTATCCTTATATACAATAAAGTGAAGGGATATAAAGCTATAAGAATTAAGGACTATCGACTAATTACAATACGAGCGCGTCTTCCCTACTATAATAGGTAGACGTACGAGGTATTGCAGCACTGCCTCCGTTCTAAGTAATATCGTACGAGTTCTTTGCGTCTACTCTAATAGACCTAGAAATGTCCGCTCCGAGGGTTTGTCCGCTTCCGAGGGTTGTTCTTATTATTACGAGGGCTATTATTTACTATCGTAGTTTTACTAGCCCAAATTGGTTAGGTTTGGCAGCCTTTAAGTATTAACTAATTATATCTTTTTAAAAAACTTAGTTCTTCTAGTTTCTATAGGTAAAGGCTATTGTAAGTGTAGTAGTAGAGGTTCGCCTCGCTTAAAGGATTAGAAAGATCGAGGAGTAACCTATTGTCCGTAAGATCGACCCCGGCTAGCTTAGCTCTATAGTTTTGCCCTTAGTTAGTCTATTAGTCGCTTAATCTTTTAACTTAGTCAAAGTTTTGACTTAGCCTTAAAGTTTTTTAATCAAACCTTTAACAGGCTTAAAGCTTTTAATCAAAGTTTTGATTAAAGGTGCCTTAGGCTCGTAGTGTAGGTAAGGTTGTGTCTATAGGCGCAGCGACAATAGTAAGTAATGTTAATAATAGTAGCGCTAGTCGTCTTAGCGCTAACTTCACCTTCTTTAACTAACAACAACTCAGCAACACCGTTACTAATATAGCGGTGTCCTTCCTTCCTTAAACAGCAACACACCCCGCAATACTGTTACTAATATAGCCGCGCCGGCTACGCCGATTGCCTAGGCCTCGAGGCCTCGACGGAATAAGGGAACAAGAGGGGGACCTAAAGGGCGCGTTAGTAAAGAGGTAGAATCCTTAAAAGAGTAGGCAATTAGTTAACGCGTCGTAGCGCGCTTATTAATACTCGGTGCGCGTTTACTATAGTAGTATAGTCTTATTGTCCTTTGTTGCTAACAATTGCTTGCTTCTAATTAGTTAGCTAATAGCACCCTAGGGGTAGCATTGTTCCTAGGCGATATTATAGGCCCTTAGCCTTCTTCTTGTTCTTTACACTAGTCTAATACTTATCTAACAACTCAGTTATGTCCTTAAACGAGTCTTCGGCCTCCTACGAGTCCTATTTAGGTAAATAGCCTTGCTATCTTAGGAGGTACTCCTTCTTGCCTCGCCTAGTCCGATAATCTAGGATACGTTCTATAGACTACAGCTCTTTACTATCCGCTAGTATGTCTTCGTGTTTAGTAGGGGCTTTATCCCCCTCGCGTAGGTAATATAGCTTAAGGAGGGATATATAGAAGGTGTTATAGATAGTGTAATAAGGAGGAAGCTATAACTAATAGGCCTATACGGAGGAGCCCTTAACTTCTCGAATGCGGAATGGACTAATGTACCTTAGTACTAGTTTAGGGCGTGTTTTACCATTAGGTAATAGGTGTTTGCGGATGCGGAGGTTCTTCGTACTAAGCATAACTATATCGCCTTGTTTGAAGGTTATTAGCGTATAGTGTTTGTTATAGTAGGCCTTCTAATAGGCCTGGGCCTTTGCTAGTTTGTTAGCTATTATAGCGTGAATTTCTCGCATCTTTTAAACCCTCTTAATAGCCGCTAGCGTCTCAGGTGTTAGTACTTAACGCGCTTCCCTTTCCTTGCGCTCGGCCTCGAGCGATAGAGGGTCTTGTAGTATAGCAGCGTTCTAACCTATTATAGCTATGTATAGCGAAACCTTAGTAGATAAGTGTACACTGTTGTTATATACGAATTCTGCAGGCTATAGGAGGTTAACCTAGTCGTTAGGGTTCTCGTTAATGTAACTACGCAGGTACTGCTATAGGGTAGCATTCTGCCTCTCTGTTTGACCGTTAGTCTATAGATGGAAGGCTATTAATAGCCGATGCTTTAGTCTTAGCTATAGGCATATCTCGCTCTAATAATAGGATATGAATGTCGTGCCCCGGTTAGAGACTATCCCCTTAGGGGTTCCCTAATAGGTATAGAAGATGTTGCTCTATAGAGCCTCTACTATATTAATAGCAGTCCAATCCTTCCGTACCGGGATATATCGAGCGCCTTTAGTAAACCGATCTACTATAACAAGGATAGCATCGAAGATGTCCTTACTACCCCTACGTTTAGCAGGTAGAAGGCCTGTAATAAAGTCTATTATAAGCTCTGCAAATAGCTTATAAGGGATTAGTAATAAGGACAACTCGCTAAAAGGCTGATATTTTAGTGCCTTAACACGTTAACATACGGCACACGTGTTAACGTATTCCTTTATATCCCGCTTACTATTTAGCTAGTAGTATGTGCGCGATAGTAGCTCGTACGACCTCTCTATACTATAGTAACCGGCAAGCTTACTATTATAGTGTCGCTTAAGAAGCTCTTGTCGGATCGAATGTTTAGCGGGGATATAGTATCTACCCTTAAACTTTAAATAACCTTTGTCATCGATCGACTAATTGTTACTCTTACTAGATCGAGTCTTTCGCTCACTTACAAGCTTGTCTATACGTTTAGCAGCAAAGGCGTCCCTCTACTAAGCCCGTAACAGCTTATCTATAAACGATTGACTATCCCTATTTGCAAGGTTATTTAATAGCATCCTCGCTATTAAACGAGGTACGCATTATATACATCTAATAGCACTAGCAGCCGGATTAACTACATTAGTGCTATCGCTGTTACTATATATTGCGATATCGACTAGGGAGTTATTATAACTTCTCCTGTCTATGTCCTTAGCCCTTGCCTTAATACGTACTATTAATATAGCAAGAGCATTAATATGCTTTAAGCCGTCGCGGAGTCCGGTAAGCCGCTTATCCTACGCTTACTTATTAACAATACAGGCTATAGCAATCTTATACTATAGGGTTGGAAACAATAAATTAATAGATTGCTAAGTCCCGCTATCGTAATTAGGTCGCCTCGATAGGCTATCGGCAGGGTTGCTTACGCCTAGCCGATATAATACATTAAAATTAAACCTAGCGA